AAAAAAACAAAAGTGCAAGAATGACTTATTGTTATTCAAGCTCGACCAACCGAGTCTAAAGAACCGTGATATAAAATCATCTTCTGTGCGCGCTAATCGTTAGCGATTAAAGCGCAACAAATAAATCTGCCACATTTTTCTTGTTATAAAAGCCCTCGTGGGAAAATGCAGGACCTCCACAGGCACCCAAATAAGCAGAAACTCACTCTCACTGCTGTCTTCCTTGCTGACTTCTTATCCGGCAAATCACACAGGGTGCCTCCTTCATACTGTTCCTCCAGATACATCAGACGATCAGTTGTAGAAGTCTATCAAGTATCACATTCATATAAATGAGTAAGCGAACTACGGATTTGTAAACCAAAATTAAGGAAAGTAATAATCTTACAAAGGAAGGATACTAGGTCGCAGTAGCGAACCAGTATGAAATGCTTATCATTGAATGCGTTTTGATGGGCTGATTCCGAATCTAACTTTCGCATCTGCTAAGATCTTCTCCAGAAGAAGCTATGAGCATTTAGAAGTACAAATTTGATAATAATTCATTCCCATACCTAGAAATTTGTTGTTCAGAGAACTTGTCTATATAATCGGCGGACGTTTGCATTTCTTGTAGTCAATCCACTCAAAATTAAGGGAATTAGTCACTCCCAAAATGGTTTTCAAAGCACAATGTGCACCAGAACCCCAACATACACACTTAACGCCCAGAGCTTCTCCTAGAGATGCGCTTAACAGCTATAAAAGTTAGCGCAGTGTGCTTCGAAAACCATCTTGGGAGCGACTATTTGCCATGATTTTGAATTGACTGACTACAAGAATTGCACGCATACACCGAATACAATATAAGTGTAATTGAACAGCTAATTCTCAAACGATTAACACTATATGTTTGCCAATATTGGACTTTCAAACGCTCATAACTTCTTCAGGAAGAATTCTTGGCAGATACGAAAGCTAGATTTGGAATCAGCCCATCAGGACGCATCTAATGATATACATTTCGTATCGGTTCGCAATGTGACCTGGTACCCTATTCTTGTAAGAAACGGTCATAGCATACGAAGGTGAGGTAGTAAAAGGAAGGTTTTCCACTGATAAACTCACCTGATACTGAGGCATTGCGTATTTTCCTAAGAAAATTCCTAGCGAGTTTGTAATCTGTGCTGCTTCATTCTCTTAACGACAATGTATCAGAAGTACACTGAAAATAAACAAAGTGACCAAAAACATACTTGCTCCATGAAATTGTTTCACATCAATACCTCTGCAGAGTTTGTACTTCCACCATCCAAGATCCTAAAGGTAAATATAAAAAGCTCTCTTAAATGTTCCACGAACAAGTGCGGATATTACCTTTGTGATGCAGTTCTTCACATAGAAACTCGCCGATACCAATTCTGCCAGATATTTGGGATTGTAACTGATTTCTTGAGGTTTCTCCTTTGGTTTCGGCACCGGAAGTTTGCAGGCGAAAATCTGCCCAGTTTTACTTTTGATGAAAATGTAGCTCTTATCATCTTTCTAAACAATGAAAGTAAATTGATATACAAAGTCTTGAAACCTTACCGTAGGCATTTCTTCATAAATTTGCTCCAACACACTTTCTTTATTATCTACCGACAAACTGCTGAGATTGAAAGTCGGATTGATCCCTGCCAAGACCGATGAGATATCTGGCTCGTAAAGCGTATTCCTGAAATAAACTGATAAGGAGATAGTGGTGCAAGAAAGTATGATCCTACCTGACTTCTTCAATATCATACCAGCCGGAAAAGCAATTCGCTGGCAACACGTTCAAAAAGGAGAAGCTTATAAGCAGCAATATGGTAGCCATTTCTTACATGTGACAAAGCAAGAAACGAGAGCGATTCCTTAAAATTGGAAAAAACAGGATAATGCGCAAGATTTGACGTGCAAAAGCACAAGATACTGGCAGCAAGACAGATGAAATTGCAACGAATATAGAAGTTCAAAGACTTTATCACTTCTATCAACAATAACAAAAAAAAGATACACGTCAGCAAAATCACGAAGAAAACGACGATGATGGAAGAAGAGTACTACAACATGAATATGGCAATTCATCTGCCAAAATCACCATAAAATCTTACAGATAAGTCCGCTTTTTGTCAAGGAAGATAAAAATGCACGCTTGCGCCGCTAAGAGTCCTGCAGAT